TCCTTCCTTCCTTCCTTCCTTCCTTCCTTCCTTCCTTCCTTCCTTCCTTCCTTCCTTTCTTCTTTTGGATTTTTGAGCCAGGGTTTCTCTTTAGCTTTTGGTTCCTGTCCTGGAACTAGCTCTTGTAGACAAGGCTGGCCTCAAACTCACAGAGATCTGCCTGCCTCTGCCTCCTGAGTACTGGGATTATAGACGTGTGCCACCACCACCTGGCTAAAGATTTAATTCTTACAATCATTTTCTGTTTATTTTTCTTCATGGTCTGAGGTACAGGTAAGCTTATTCTTTCCATTTCATTTCTAGTTTCTTGGTACCATTGTTGAAAGGCTATATTTTTCCATTTTGTGTTATTGGTATCTTTATAAAAATTAATAGACCATAGGCATATAACGTTATTTTTGGATTTTCTGTTCCATTCCATTGGTTTGTAAGTCCATTTCCTTACTAGCTATGTGTTTTCTTGACTACCATTGTCTTATAAAAGAGCTTGAAATAAGGAAAAAAATATTTGAAGTAAAAAACTTAAAATGATGACTTGTTCATTTGTAATCAGAGTTTCAGAGGGTTTGTCTGACATGAAAAGGAGACTATCACCTGGTAGAGGCTAAGAAGAAGATAAAAAGGAGACAGAAAGGTGCCAGATGTAAGACATCCCCTAAATGCCTGAGTTGATTGATCTCCTTCCTCCAGCTAGGTTTCACTTTCTAAAGCCTCTGGACCCTCCCCACAGTTGAGAACATAGGCTTTGATGCATAAGCCTGTGGACAGGATTTCATAATTAAACCATCACAGATATTAACAGTGTAAATTACATAAAAATAATATTTTTTAAAGAAGAGCACTCAGCAAAGCATGCCTTCAGTTGAATATTTAAAGTGAAGTCAGAATGATAAACTAAAATTTCTAATTCAAGCTCTTTAAAATGCATACATGCAATTGCACAAAAATAGTGCTTACTACTCTCATGGGAGTTGGGGAGTCCTGAATGAGCTTTTGATCCAAACATATGTAAATCATTCATTTTCCAGAGGGCTTTTTGGTATACTTTGCAGTTGGTAAGACCTACAGAATATGATATTTGCTTGAAGCCTCAGAAATACTGTACAGCTGCTTATTTCAGCATATCGAGCAAGCACATCATCAACTGCATAATATATTGAATTTGTAAAATGACAAAATTATTTACAACTATATTCTCTTAAATTTTCATGCAAACTCCCTATAACCTTCATCTTCTATTTCATTCATTCATCCATTAATCTGAAATTTATTATACTTCAAAGATGAAGATAGATAATGAGAATTGGCCTGTCTATCAAAATGTAATTATCTGTACACAATGCATTGCATTGATTAAAGAAATAACAGTTACTTGAAAAAATACTAGAATCACCTCACAATCTATTTGTGAAAATGAAAGTATTTGCATACAAGGTAGGAGCTACCATTTAGATTTTTTGGCCTTTATTTCTTTAGCTAATGAAAGTAATATTGCTTTAATGAATAAGGGATATATTAAAAACACAGATATTAGTGGTGATATCTATAAGCTTTGATTCATCTTTCCGTGTGATTTTTTTGTATTATCTTTAGAAAATCTATGCAGATTTGCTTGAGAGAGATGATTCTATATTTACTTTATAATTATTTTATGACACATTATACTTTACTGTTTGAAAATGGCATAACATCATTGCATTTCCGACAAATCAACATTTGGCAAGTGTTTTTGTGAATTTATGTTATGTGATAGAAGGTTATGAAATCTTTGTTTTTCATCTCCTTCAGCGATATTAACTTTAATTGAAAATTTATATATCATAGAAACCGCCAGTAAGTCTGTCAATGTTCTTAAAACAGCCACAAACAAACAGTAGGTACCCGAAACACATATTTTAAAGTCATGCTCTAAATTTCAAGAAAACTTTTGCTTGAATGTACAGAGTCAAGGAATGAGTCACAGTTTATGCACTAGTCCTGATTGACAGAGCTCCAAAAATGACACCTCCTCTAAGCTCGTCACTGAGGAATGTAGGAGCCATAATTGTATCTTTAAAGCCACTATTATCCTGAAGACATGATTTCCCAAGCATTTCACATCATAAAGCATGAAATATGACAAAGTGTTTGGAACACTCCTGTGAAAATGGACATGCCTATCCATGCCTGGAGGTGACCCTTCTCACCTGATTACCTCACATGCTCAGGAGGACATCGTCAGCAAGGAATGTCTAATTCAGTTATTCAGCAATACGCCATGAATTCCCCAAACACATGAAGGAACTATGAATAGACAACATATTACTTTAAAAAGATACATCATGATATGCATTTTTGGACAGGATGAACCAGGTTGAGCAACTGCCTTCTCTAAGTCATTTGCAACCCATATACTACCCTGGGGAACCTGCCTGGGTTAGGCTTTGCAGGAAAACAGAATCTTACAGTGTTTTCATAAGGTTTTGAAGGCTGGCTGAACACACTTACCTTCATTTGTCTGTCAGAGTCCCCAAGCTAACCACCTGGAGGTTCCAGCTTTTAAGCTGTGTTGAAATAGGGACGGCGGCAGGGCTGCGTCCCCGGCACCCGGCCGCCCGCATGGCTAGCTTATGCCCAAAAATAATTACACGGAAACTGTATTCTTTCAAACACTGCCTGGCCCGGATAGTTCCAGTTCCTTATGGCTAGCTCTTACATATTGTTCTAACCCATTTCTAATATTCTGTGTAGCCCACGAGCTGGCTTACCAGGGAGGATCTTAACCTGCGTCTGTCTGGAACGGGAGAACCATGGCGACTCCTCACACAGCTTCTTTTTCCCAGCATTCTCCTCTGTCTACTCCGCCTACCTAATTTTCTATCCAATAAAATGGGCCAAGGCAGTTTCTTTATTAATAAGAAATCACTCCCACATCATTTCCCCTTTTTCTGTTTAAACAAAAAAGAAAGGCTTTAACTTTAACATAGTAAAATTACATATAACAAAACAGTTATCAAGTAAGAATTACAGTTACAATATTTATATCTATTTTATCTCTTATCATAACTAAGGAAAACTATAACTAACCATTCTTCAACTCCATCAAAGACTCCAGAAGGATATAATATTACCTATCAAACAAGAAATAAGAAAACTCTAGAAATGACAGAGACATCTCGCTGCCTGGACAGTCACCCAAAGTTCCTCTGTACCGTTGGGGCATCCATCTTCGGCCTACAGGCCCATAGTATCCAGCAGACATTCTCATCAAGCAAGAAATTCCAAAGACAGTTCAGTCACTTTTTGCTGTGTCCTGCAGAATGTCTCACAGACTCTTTCATGAAGCAGGAACCCCAAAAGGTCATCTCACCTTTAGGCAAGTTCAGCAGTCCTCTCTCTGCGGGTTCTCTGTGTCCAGTTTATGCAACAGTCCAGGCAAGAGCAGTTTCTTGCCCAAATGGCTATCAAACTCCATAAGGATTCTCTTCGATGCCCATCTTCCTCTTGAAATAGATTGGTGCTGCCAGGAGCAAATGTGTCTCATTGTCATGAAAAACCCTAAGTTATTAAAATATCTTAAATGCCATATTCTGCAGCCTTTGAAAGATATGAAGAATGCCTATCTAACTAAAATATCTCTCTATATATCTAGAAAATCTAACTAACATGACTACAAGCTTAAGTATTAGCGATGATTATCCATTAACAACCTATATTTCCTAATTATACATTACATTTTTAAATGAACTACACAATCACAATACCTTAATCAAGATCAAAAATACATATACATATAACAAAATTGACCATAAAATCCATACCAATGCAAATTATTCATATCTATATCATATCCCCCTTTAAATGTAAAAGAACATTTATAAACAATATTTGGGAACATGGGCGTAGTTTTTTCTCTCCAAACTGCTTCCTGCTGAATAGGGGCGTCGTTAATTAGGTTGTTCATGATGTAACCTGTGTGCTAGTTTCATCTCAGTTGGCAATTGAGCGAAGCAATTTTTTGAGGGTGTTCACAGCAACCTTTCAGGAGGGCGTGGTCTATCATACCAAATCGGAATAGATGCAATCCACAGGGTCTCATCCTCTGCAAAAACAAAAGAAGACCCTCTCCAAAGCATCATATCCTTAGACCCAAATTCTGAAATCATAATACCCTCATGAAATCCATTTTGGTTTAGCTTGGCAGCCCATATAATGAAATGTCTCTCTGTACTTAGCTCCTTCACAGTCAAAAATTTTAAAGAAAACACAATGTACATAATCCAGACTCTCTGTGAATTTTCCATTTTTACGTGGCTTATTTTTCTTTATTTCTCTTAATCTATAACTATCTGTACTTCTGTACTCTGTCTCTTTAAAGACTTTACCCTTTTTCTTTTTAAGACATTAACTTTATTCTTTATATTCTTTTTCTTCTCTTTCCCAAGCCTACGTACATTCATCCAACAGTGTCTGAATCTGTTTTATTGTGAATCTGTAATTTTTTTACTATCCAGGAGCATTTCTTAAAATGTTAAGCATTTCTTAAAAACTTAAGTTGCACCATGTACAGGTAATACGGTACTGCCTGTGTCCTGCCCAGTCTAAACCTTAACTGCACGGTTTTAAGGTAATTACGGTAGTTCCTGCCTGAGATCAGCACAGTTCAGCATGGAGCAGCCGCTCCTGCCTCAGAGTCATTTGGTGCTTCTGAGCTGAGCACAGTTCCAGGCACACAGCAGTTCACATTGGAGCCGCAATCAGCAGTTTAATTCTGAGACTGAGTGTGCAGCACAGAAACTCTTTTCATCCAAGTTACAGCCAAATCTGACACGCAGAGCACTGCGCAGTCTGAAAACGCGTCTCTGTATGGCGGCAGGAATCCGCCATGCTCTTCCGCCTGCCTAAGCCTGATTCTGCCTTCTGCCCAGGTGCAGGCGGGGAGCGCTGAGCCATCGGCACGGTCTCAGAGCACTCTCCTCCGATCCCAAGCGGGAACACAAACATCCAGTCCCATAAAAGCCTTGAAATGCTTTAAAGCCAGAGTTCACGCTGGCAGTACAGCCCTATGAAGCCGCGCTTTAAAATGACGCAGCTTTTTTTCTGCTGCTATTGCTGAATCAGGAAATCTCTTTATGGCACGCCACCAACAGAGAGCAAAACTCTGTGTTAAACTCTGTTTCCCTTCTTTTTAAGCCCTCTCAGGTTTTTAAGTGGATTTAGCCCATCACGTCTGGGCGCCATCTGTTGAAATAGGAGCGGCAGGGCTGCGTCCCCGGCACCCGGCCGCCCGCATGGCTAGCTTATACCCAGAAATAATTACACGGAAACTGTATTCTTTCAAACACTGCCTGGCCCGGATAGTTCCAGTTCCTTATGGCTAGCTCTTACATATTGTTCTAACCCATTTCTAATATTCTGTGTAGCCCACGAGCTGGCTTACCAGGGAGGATCTTAACCTGCGTCTGTCTGGAACGGGAGAACCATGGCGACTCCTCACACAGCTTCTTTTTCCCAGCATTCTCCTCTGTCTACTCCGCCTACCTAATTTTCTATCCAATAAAATGGGCCAAGGCAGTTTCTTTATTAGTAAGAAATCATTCCCACATCAAAGCTGCTTTCCCCATAAAACCAACAAGCTTTTACAACTGAGCACTGTCCTCTATTATGCAAGGCAACCCAGCAGCCTTTTTCTTGTATACACTGCTTTTCTATTTACAGAGTAGCTTTGCTTGGTGGTTGCTTGTGCCTTTGTTTTTGCCTGGAAAACTAATTCCTCCTTTAACTAACCCATACTGATGGCTCAGATTTCCTGTGATATGGGTCATTTGTTTTCTCATGGGCTCTGCTATCTATCACATTCTCCTCTGGATTCTGAGTCTGTCTCTCTCACTGCTTCTCTTTCCTGCACGCCTACTCATGTCTCCTCACCAACTGGAGTAACTGTCCTTCTCTCAGAACTGCCTCTCGACTTTGTCACGACGTCATGCTGGTATGATAGGCATCTCACATGATCCTGATCCCCCATCACCATGTCAAAATATCAACCCCTCATGATCTGGGAAATCTCTCGATGAGCCACAATCCTCTTGAAGATGCCCTCTGAATCAAGGTTCTGTCCAATGCCAGTGCCCCTTATGTGTCTTCCATGGCTCACTCCTCTCTTTACCTACATCCTCCTAATCTGTAATCTTTACCTCCTTGGCTTGTGTACACTATTGGTCTGCTTTTATCAGGTCCTAGGTGTCTAGCTTTGGAAAGGAAGACCCTTCCCCAGTATCTTCTACCTACTTTTGGCCTGAACACTGGTATTCCTTTTCTGAACTCCTGTATTCCATTAACCCTGGGATCTTCCCATGTTAAACTGGATTCTGCCACTCCTCTTCCCTGCCTCTTCAAATCTCTTTCCTGTCTTGGACTCTGTGATATCATCAACCTCACCCCGCTGTTTTCTTTTCCGTATCTGACTTTCTTTTGAACCACAAACCAACTTCCAAATCATGACAGGGAGATTTGTTATTCGTTATGAATGCTCAACCTTAGCTTAGGCTCCTTTCTTGCTATCTCTAATGATTTAACTTCCTTCTCTTCATCTACTTTTTGTCTCAGAAGTTTTTATTTTTCTCTTTCTTTTTCTTTCTCCCCCCCACCCTCCTATTTTCTTGCTTCTTGTATCTAGCTGGCTGGTGGCATACTGCTTTTTGGACCCAGAATATGTCCCTTTTTTTTCTCTCCTATTTATTCTCTCTGCTCGCCAGCCCTGCATATCCCTGTATTCCTCTCCTGCCTAGCTATTGACTATTCAGCTTTTTATTATACTAGTTAGGTGCCTTAATCGGGCAAGGTAAAACAAATGTAATACATCTTTACATCGCTAACAAAAGCAGCACAAACAAATGTAACACACCTTTGCCTAGCTAAAATGATATTCCATAACACTTTTCATTTACTCGCCCCCCTCTCTCCCTCCCTCTCCCCCCCTTTACTATAATATGCCTTGACCTCAGTACAAACTTGATAATCAGTCTCAATGGCCAGAAAATAGGGTATTGACTTTCAAATTCTTACTGACCTTGATGACTTCTGCCAGCTCACTGGTCCTAAATTCCTTTTACTCATGCCTCTCTGTTCTTCATTCTCACCTTCCCCTTATGCCTTTTGCCATATACATTGAATCTTCTTGGCAATAAACAAAACTCTTCCTGAGACATACCATTATCTCAAGTATTCAAGAATCTCAGGATTCCCTCTCCCTTTGATTTAGACATAGAGGACATGGCAATCTCCTCTATCAAATCCTCCAGTACCATCAGTACTACCGCAATCTCCTCCTCAGCCTCCTCAACCGCTGACTCCCTCCTTACTCTCCCCATGCACATCATCCTCTATAAGTTCCATCATCTTCCTTCCTTACTGCCCCCTAACTTCCATGAGCACTGTTGCCTCGCTTTACTGCACTAGTGGCTCACACCCATATATGAACTGATAAACTTCACCAGTGGTTCACACCTGGGTATGATCTGATGGACTTGATTTCCTCAAAGTGTATTATGCTCATAGGCCTCTCTACATTCTGTCCCTTTCTCTTTTTCTGATGCTTCTCAAGAAGAGAAACATCTTGACTCTTTCTCGAATGACCTCAGTAATTTTTATCAGGATATTTAGGTATTTTACCCAGTCATATAACCTCACCTGGCAGCATGATCTCTGTCTTTCTTTTTTCTATCGTTAATGCATTAGAGAGACTCTGGACAGGTTCATGCAGATGATGTCTGCTATATTAATGATGACTTCCACACTGGGACAATTGTTATTCCTCATATTGATCCCTACTGAAACTGTTAAAACCAATGCATAAAATCAGTCCTCTGGCATGGAAGCCTTGGACAAAACAAATCTCTGCCTATTGGCAGTGCTCCAAAAGCCCTCCCGTGACCTAGTCAATTTTGACAAGTTAAGAGAGGTCACATAGAGGCCAGATGAAAATCCTGCCAAAATCCTCACCTGGATTACAGAGCTCTACTTTATAAGATAGGCTCAAATGCTCAAGAGGGCATGCTTGTTCTCGATGCTCATTTTTCCTTTCAGCACCAGACTTCATAAGAAAACTAAAGAGGCTGGATGGTAGTATACAAACCCCTCATAGAGATCTGTTTAATGTCATTTAAGGTGCTTAATAGAAGGGAGGAACAGAAAAACGCCAAAAATGCCTTACATGTAGACAGAAATATTAACATAACCTAGCATCTGTAAAAGCACCCCCAAGGAAGACAGGGAACCAACAAACCTACCAGAGACCTGTTTTAAGTGTGGTAATGCCAGCCACTGGTTGAAGAACTACCTACCCTTCACCTCATCTGCCCCTGAATCCTGTGAAATTGTGGAAAGGCAGTCAGGACACTGGAAGGTCAACTGTGCCTCTTTGACTTGTCATGGTAGGCCTTCTCCTGTCCCTATCACCAACCTTTTTTGTAAGATTTGTTTGAAAGTCTCTTTCCCACAGAACCTCAGCTCATTCTGGACAGTTCCACACTTGATCATCTTCTTTATACCAGAATGGAAGCTAAGCTTCAAGAAGTCACTAATTGGATAATTTGCTGCAGCCCAAATGAGCTTCAGATTCTTTTTCTGATGAGTACGATTGTCAGTCAACAGGACCTCTAAAGCTTAAATTTTCTCTCTTTCCTTATATTCCTAATGACACCTAATATGGGCTCCTTCTTCCCCTTCCTGAAAGGAATTTTCTCTGTTTCCAACCATTCTGGCAAGGCGGCAAACATGGACATTTAAGATATACTCTATCCAAACTAAGTCCATCCTTAATTCCACCTTCTGTGGAATTGTCACTTAGAGATGGGCGACAATCTCTTGATCTCGATGGGTGACATTCTCTAGATCTCTAGAGACAGCCTTCTAAACCACGGTTAAGATCTTTGAACAACCAGGATCTAATCGATC